GTAATTATCAAGACGAACAGAACTTATCTATAGATAAATGGGATGTTATTATAGTCCAAGTTGAAAGCCTTTCTCGTATCGAATTTTCTGCCCGTCTAATTGTAGCTGTTTTAGATGAAGTTAATGCAATTCAACGCCAAATGAATAGTGGTGCAAAAGCAAGAGAATCCGAGAATGCGATGCGTGATGTGTTAAAATCGGCCCAACATGTTTTAGCAATGGACGCCTTTGCAAACGAGTCAACATTAGCCTTCCTCAAAGCCTATCGTGGTGAAAATATTCGAGTGATTGATAATAAATTTCAGCCTCTTATAGGTAAGACCGTTGAGTATCTTTATGATCCAAATAGCGGGGCTGAAGCTATGCGAATAGGATTTGAGTTTCTAAAACAAGGTAAACGCGTAGCGTTTGTTGTAACTAGCTCTAACATGGCTCGAGCATTAGTAAAAAAGGCTTCTAAATTATCTTTTAAAGCTCGCGCCTATTATGGAGATATGGATGGAAAACAACGAAAAAATGACTTTTTAGATATTAATACAGCTTGGGGTGAACTTGATTGTGTAGCTTATACAAATACAGTAGAAGCAGGTATTTCTTTTGAGAAACCTAATTACTTTGACATAGTTATAGGTATTACAAATATTTCGACACCAGTTAATATCGAAGCATTTATCCAGATGATGTTCCGAATTCGTGATTGTAAAAAGCGTATAATTTCTCTCTATTATCAGAAAAATTCCGATGAGCTTTTTCGTCCACCCGGCCACGAAAATATTCGTACAGAACTTGCAATTGCTCGGCCTAATGATTTACATACAGCAGTAAAGGGACATCGTGAATGGGATAAAGATATTATTTCCTACAAACTTGATCAATCACCTGCTGTATTATCATTCATTGAAGTCGAGCATCGGAAACGTCTCTCTGCAAGAAATTTTATCGAGATTTCATGTAGCCTTATTGCCAGTACTGGAGCAAGTCTTAAATTAATAAAAATGGACGAAAATAAAGAGATTATAGGGAATCGTAAAAAAGTTCGTAATGAGATTAAGGCTGAAGCTTTAGTTATCAAGAATACAGATTTTGATGCAGTCGCCACTTCTCGAAATCTTGCTCTTGAGGAAGCTGAATTCCTTAAACTTGATTCAGAACGTTCAGTTGCAGATACCATGGCACTTAAGCATTTTTATCTGTGGAATCTTTATGGTGGAAATGGTATGAGCATCGAGGATTGGAATAAACTCTGCGATAAAGATTTTGTAGAACATTTTAGTCCACCCGAACCTAGAAAACATTTCTTGCGTCTATCTCATTTTTACAAGCAATGTTATGATGAAGAGAGTGCAATAGAAGAATTAAAGGCCAAAGATATCACACAATGGGAAGATACCTGCTATAATGCTAAAGATTTACGCAAAACATATTCAGCGAATCATTGGGAAGCTGTACAAGGGCTTTTACAGTCACTTGGTTTTACAGGTATAGATGATAAACGCATTCTCTCTGACGATCAGGTAAAAGTTGTGTTTGAGGCATCTCGTGAAAAATTTATAGAAATTCGAAATCAATCCTTATTGCTCTTTGGCTTTAAGTCTCGTGCAAAAGAAATACCAGATCTTAAATCAGCTATAAAGGCAATTAATGCAATTGTTGGTAATTGGTGTGGTTATACTATAAAAAGTGAACGAAAATTGGTAGGACCTAAAGGACAACAGATTTGGAAATATTCATATCAAATTAACCGAAAACCATATAATAGTTGTGGTTTTGATAATCAAGAAGAAGTAATGGCTAGGAAGTTAGATGATCCTGAATATTACCTTATAGCTCCAGTTCTTCCATCATATAAGCCAAAGGTAAGTGATGAGATTCAGAATCTTTTCGATTCTATACCTATTATTAACAATAATACTTCAGAACATGTTGAGCATAAAACTTCTGACTCATCTAGTAATGCAATTGATGAAAAAGATTTACCTTTGAAAATACCAGCCCGTAATCAATCTGCTGGTCTTTCCCAAGATAGATGCCATGTTGATACTACTATTAGTAAAGCCAGTATAGTTGAGAAAAAAATACCCGAATCCTTAACTCCTCTATCTTCAGAATTTCTCATTAAAAATGAATCTGATATAGACAATCTTATCCTTCTTTTACAACAAAAATTCCAAATGTCTCAGGAAAGGTTAGAACAATGGTGAACCAAGATTGCCTTTGAATTGCGGGATAATCAAAATTACTGGAAAAAAGAGCACGAGAGTATGAATGAAACTGATTTCTTAGATTACAAGAAAAATTTCGAAGCTAAAATGGGTGTTCCTACTACTCCATACAAAAAGAATTTTGTACCATAGCAATTGCTCAGGTGATTTTTAGGTTATTACTTTGAATCAAAGTAAAAAATAATTTCTCCTTGTTGTTTAATCCCTTGTCTCCTTCATATATAATGATGATTACGTAATGAATTTGATGTTATTATTGTTACTTGACGACGTATATTGTATTACTCTCTGATTAATAAGGATTAATAAATAGATAAATTGGATAAATTAAATAAATTTCATCGCCCAAGTAATAATAAAAATGAAAAATCTAAAATTTTTAAGGAATTCTATTGTGAGAAAAAATTTTCCCTTATACAATTGCAAATCATAATCGGATTTAAACAAGTACCCTATCTAATGCTTATGCAAGCTTCTTTTTTTGTCATCCTCATCGACCACTGGCGGTGCTTATGATTGAAGTCACACGTGATTTTCAAAATAAAAATCTTGGGGACAAAAATTTAAAGCACGCCTAAAAATTTAATTGCAGGAAAATTATAGTATATATAACTAAGCCCAGTTTTTGACATCTAATAAAATAAATTCAGTTCTGACAAATTGCGTCATACATCTACTTAATCCAGACATTTCAGCGTTTTGCCCAAAATTAAAAATCAACAAAAAATATCTAATTTAAAAGAATATGAACGTGTCAAATAATCGTATTTTATAAAGGCAGAATAATTGATAAAGGATATAGTAAATTTTATTATATACATTACATTATGAATCAGGAATTATTACTTTGAAAACAAGAATATTTTAGGTAAAACAAGTTTATAAAGCTTATGGTTATAACAATTTGATCATAAAGATCTCTGCACTGATCACGTATTGCTAGAGTATTGATGATGATGAGCATGATGATAACAATAAGATTCAAAACAGTTTTATGACTATTTTATAAATATAAATTTACCTCAAAATTTCTCTTAATTTAATCCGTCAATCGTTGTTCAATATTTGAAAATGGATTATTCGTGACTGTTAATCTTATAAAGTCAAAATTTGACAGATTAGATTTGGATCAGAAAAGCCAATAAATAAAAACAAATTGCATAATATATTTACTTATTCTCAGGATCTATCCAATCAGCAAATTCACTTAACATTCCATTGAAATGAAGGGTATAAAAATTTACCACATTCCTCCATTCTTTCAGGATTTTCTCTGCCAAGTTTGCTTCAAGTGATAGTGTATGTTCCTCTCTGCATGAGAAAATGCTTAATAACACACTTAGATTGGATAATTCAACGGTCCAAAACTGGTTAAATGCATACTCGACGAATTCATCCTGGTTGAATGTAAGCTTCTCCAACACCTCAGCAACATATCCTACCGTTCGAATTAATTGACGCAACTCGATTATATTTTGTACTGATAGATCAACTCCAAATTCCATTGTAGAAACAACCTGTTCTATTACTTGATCGGCAGATATTCCATCGGCAAGAGTACAGATAGTTTTATTGCCCAGCACTTTCATCAGCATTTTGCTACAATGCTTTTGCTCACGAATATCACGTTCAGCTATCGAAATCTCTTCCTCGATTTGGCTTTTGTAACCATAAATATCGTGCTTGATATCAATCAAGTATCTGAAGAGGTCAAATTCAAATTCATTGCAATTTTTCGACTCTTTTTGCAATGTAGTTGCCAAATGTTTAAGCTCTCGAATTACTGAAATGCATTCAATAGTTCCGATATTACCATCAAGTAGGCGTTCGAAAAGCGTGCACATGCATCTTGCATAACAGTATTCTTGATAATTTGTCCAGGTGGATTGTCTTGTTGTCATTACAAATCTATTAAAGGCATTGATTATAATGGGTCTGATTTGTGTGTTCAAGTATTCATCGTCTGTTTCAATGTATAAGAATTCATAAAAGGACTTTATGAGTGGTTTTATCATTCTGGTACGCGTATAGTTCAATCTATCACATTCAACGGCTGGACTTTTCCATTCAGAAAGTGTTTTAATTTTATATTGATTTGAGTGAAACATTTTATTGGTAGATATCAATTATGATGTTTTTAAAAATTAATATTGGGGAAAATTTGATTGATACCATTTTATACATCTACTATCGCTATGATGTATTTATTTTTTAGGTGTCATGTCGTTCATGGCTTGTATGTCATGAGTCTCACAAACATTACGTTCCAAAAAGTATAATTTCTATCAAGGTTACCTATTCAAGTATTAATTTACACACAACATATGTAACATCGATCTAGAAATAGAACATGTCCTTGCTGATCTTTGTTTATTATTTATTATTAATTACTTTGGAAGATGCATTCATTGTACCCCTAAATCCAATTCTATAACCAATTCATTGCTTTGGTTCTGTAGTTCAGTTATTACGATATAGTGGCAAATACCTTTTCTTATTGTAATTGTTGCAACAAGGAAGGATTAAATATTTGAAAGTTTTCTCCCAGGATGATTTGGAATGTGAAAATTTTTGTATGCAACTTCAAACCTAATGACCTAGTAATCCTTTCTTTTAATTGTTTCTATAAATAAATCCTTTGATTTTATCACCTTTACAATTATCAACAATTAATTTATAGCCACACTCAACAGAATAATCACAAAAATAGTATCCCATTGTCTACTTTAAATACGCTTTGAATCTTATATACAGTTGCTTGTTGTTTTACCCATACAAGAATATTTTACCTTTTTGGTTACAATGGATGCACGGAACACATAATAATAATAATAATAATAATGATAGTAAGAAAAAAAAATTCCGTTATGAGCAAACATTGGATTATCGATTTTTTCATATGAATCAAACAAATCCTAATTACACAAATTACATGACATCATAATCTTCTTTGTCTTTTTATACACAATGCAAACATCTTCTTAACTGTTCGCGTAACAAACATTGGATTATAAGTTCTTTTTCACGATTCATCTTTTAAATTATTTAATCAACCGCACCTTTATATGCAAAGCAAAAATCTTCTTTACTTGGAATAGAATCTTATGGTTCAAATGAACCTTTCCATAAAGAATTTTTATCAATTTAACTTGTTTATCAATGAACATTTTTATGTAACATCAAATTAATTCCATTTCTCTCTGACTTTTCATCGCGCTTTTGACATGTAATAATTCTGAACAAACAATAATAACATAATCAAATAATAAAAAAGTATTTTTGCGAAATAATAATAAACTTACACCAATAAAACATCCCGAATATCCATTGGATATCCACCAATATTAATATGGTCTGATAAAAGATTTATTATTATTTATTTCAAAATTTTATGATGACAATAAAAATTTTATTTATTTATTGGTCAATGAATTTTTCTACATCAACATCATGTTTTTTTTTTTTTAAAAACTATTCATTCGAAAAGAATTGTTCCTTTAGCTATCCACGTGTTACCAACAATCATTGAACAATCGTTCACTTGGTATAAATGTTTTTAGCTAATGTGAGAAATTATTTTTTGTTTTTCCACCAGACAAATGGATCTTGTCTAACATGAAATATATAGATAAATAATTTATGTATTAAATAATTTATATTGAAATAATTATATATTATAAAGACAAATTATCAATTTTAAAAAATTTTTTTTTGTTTTTAAAGAAATGAACTTTTTTCACTATGAATATTCACTTGAAAAATTCTAGTCGAAAAAAAAAAATCGCGGTGACAATTATCATACAAACCGTCATTTTAATTATTTATAAACTTTGATTTTTATTAGTGTGAAGGATGATAGTGCCAATTTTGAAAGGTTTGAAGAAATTAATGGCATACAATGATGAGAAAACTAGATTATAATGAACTCCACATCCAAAAGAGAATTTATTATTTTACAATTTTAATTAAAATGATGACGACGTAACAAGAGTTTTCTTTAGTACTTTGTCCACAGGTGCTGAATTTACATATTTAGATGGTTGGCTCATGCATAAATCAGCAGATGAAGACCTATTGTTGAAAGAAACATTGTAGTGATTATATTCATGAAATTTGAATATTCAGAGAAGCACGAGCTATTACTATTGCTGAAAATTGGCAAATTTCGAATTCAAATCACTAGATAACAGTAATGATGAAGAATTCGGCACCACCATGTTCAACGAACCACCACACGAAGAAATTCCTTCCGGCCAAAGAATTTTTGATCGGCTTAGCTGGCTAAAAAAAAATTTCTCATAACATTCATTTTTACGTCTGGAATTTTAGTGGCATAGAAATTTAGTTGAGATGAGTCCACTTGCATTACTTTGAATGTCAAAAAAACATACAATACATCACAGCAGGTAAAAGTCATAGTTAGAGTTTCTATTCGTAATACAAATTCTTATTTTAATTCGAACTCTTCTTATTATTCGTTCTATTCGTTCTATTTGAATCATTTATAATATTCGTTCTATTCGAATTATTGAATTATTCGTTTTATAATAATTATTTGTTTATTTGAATAAACTTTCAAATGCTCAAATTCATAACAAATAAGCAAATAATGGTAGTGATAACGATAATAGTAGTAATAATAATACGGAAGTTAAAAATTTTTAAAGGAAAATCCGGATTTTTTAAAGTACTATTTCTAGCCCTGGTACTAAGTATAATTGATTCATTAAAATTATGCAAAATATTGAAAGACATGCCAACATAACTTTCTACCAAATGTGACCGGATAGAAGACCCTGTGAGAAAGCTGCAAGTGGTTGGGATTTTTCAAGGAGCTAACAGGTTCAACTTATTACAATGGACTATCTAAAAGATATAATTTTCCATGTTCAACATAGAAGGGTCCATGAAGTTTCTGTATTTTTTAACTAAATCTGTCCCACTGTTATGGTTTAAAGGAAATATTATGTGCAAAATCTATCATCATACAAGCATTGGACATAATAAATAAGAAGAATGATGTTAATGTTGAGAATTTTCTTGATGATTCTTGTGAACAAGATTGATATTGCACACCTCCAACCTTCATGAGATTAATGAAAAAGGAATATTGCACAGATTATCTTTATGCATAAGAGTAAGTTGATATATTTTTGCTAATAAAAAATGAAGGAAATGTCATTTTTTGCATATATTTTAAAAAAAATTTTATAATTATTATCCAGGTGTATTTTCAATGTCACAATTGGCAGTTAATTTTTTGTTTGAAGATTAGATGATCTGCACCATATGAACAAAAAAAGGTTGCCCTTCTATATGGGGCACACTGCAACATAACCAGATAAAGTGAACATTGGTATTACCAGGGATTTCAGGGATCAATAATTGGGTGCCCTACATTATATGATTTTACAAAACCATATTAATATTAATATCGGCCAATTATTTTTAACCCCTAAATATAGGGTATTAGACGTAGGGGAATGTCTAATTGACCTACTTTTGTACTCATGAGTATCATCCTTATGCAGTCAGGGAGTGGAAATAACATAATTATGTTATTTCCACTTAGTCTAGGTTATTCCCCCTCAGCTATGACGTGTAGATCGTAAAATTCAAGTCATTTGAGTGATGGGTTGATCATAAAACTCAAGTCATTTGAGTGATGGGCATGTCATAAAACTCAAGTCCGAAAATGACGTCCATTTTAATTGTGCCTCGTCATTCGAGTGACGTGCATTTTGCATTTGCCTCAAAGATATAGATTACATTTGTATCGCAAATTGAGAACCGCTGAGTCATGTGTCAGTATAACATGCATTTTGCATTTTAGGTCACGGCTCGAGTGATGTGCATTTTGCTTTTTATGACACGCACCAAGGTGGCGTATTTTGTGTATGTGCCTAAAGGGTGCCGTTTTCATTATAAATCCAAAAAACGTTTTCCATGCTCCGAGTGCGATTTCAGTTTTCGCCATGTAGCATTTGTGTCCATCGTCCACACGTGTGGATGGTCACCTATAAGTAGCACTCCAGGAAAATGCTTATTTTGGCTTTTACGATGAATTTGATTGCGAGGGATGAGGCACGAAGTGCCGAATTGGCAATCTCTATTTTGGCCTTGTATGTTGCATTCGAATGCTAGGTTTGAGGCACAAAGTGCCAAATTGTTAACTGTTATAATGCATTTGAATATCAATCGAGGATGAGGCACGTAGTGCCGAATTGTTAGCAATTGTTAGCTTCGCATAATTCATTCGAATATCGCCCAATGATGAGGCACGTAGTGCCGAATTGTTATCATTACTTGGTAATACGTAAAAGCACAATTTTTTCTTACCTCTTTCCTTATATTATTCTACCTTTGGGTATTACCAAAATTTTGCTATATTTTTCGATTCTAGAACTCTTTCTCATATAATTAATGCTTTTGAATACTTTGCTTTATGTTAAAAAAATTGGATTATATTTTTGATAACTTTTGCGTATTACATTTTTGATAACTTTTGCATATTACATTTTTGATATAATTGTGCTCAAGTACTTTGCTTTACGTTAAAAAATTTGATCGCTTTTGTATATTATTTTTTTGATAACTTTTGCGTATTACCGAAAGCTTGCTATATTTTTCGATTCTAAAACTCTTTCTCATATAGTTACTGTCTTCGAGTACTTTTATATCGTGTCAAAAAAATTAGATCACATTTTTGATTACTTTTGCGTATTACATTTTTGATAACCTTTGTATATGACTGAATTGACATAAAGTACTAAAATCATGTGGTACAAAAATGGTCATAGTTACCTATCCTATGATCTGAATTAATTTTCGATTTGAATTTTTTCCAGCATATATTGTAAGAGGCAACATCCCTTACCTGAGATAAATGACTAGTTAAATGTAACAATTTCTCTCCACCAGAGATTATTACTTAGCTAGATTTTATGCATATTCAATAAGGGCTAAAGTGCGGTTTTTTAATTCTTTTTTGTATGGAGTAGTAGGAACACCCATTTTAGCTTCGAAATTTTTCTTGTAATCTAAGAAATCAGTTTCATTCATACTCTCGTGCTCTTTTTTCCAGTAATTTTGATTATCCCGCAATTCA